GGGGGGGGGGGGCAAGACAGAGGCAGGAAGGGGCTGGGATGGACCCATAACCCCTTCTGGCCCCCCCAGAGGGGCCAGGCCCAGTGCCCCCTTCCCTGCTCTCCTGAGCCAGACAGCCCCTGCCCTGGGACTGGGTGGGAGCCAGTACCCCCTAGAGCAGTGGTTCCCAAACTTTTCGGCATTTTCTTCACGAGCTGGGAAATCCTAGGTTTGGAACGAGGGCTTTGGGTGCGGGGAGGGGTGAGAGGTGCAAGCTCTGGGAGGGAATTTGGGTGCAGGAGGAGGTGGAGAAGGGGCTGCTGGCTCAGGGAGGGGTCTCCAGGCTGGACAGTGTTGGGGGCTTGTAGCCGTGGGGGTGCAGGAGTTTGGGGTGGGCTCTGTGCGGGGCTCAGGGCAGGGGGGTTGGGAGTACGATGGGCACAGGACACAGATCTGCAGTGTGTGGATTGTGCAGTAGCACTGTGGCAGAAGAGTGGGGATGTGGGAGGCTCAGGACAGGGGGTTCCGGTGTACGATAGGCTCAGGGTTGGGGGAGGCCGTGGGGATGCAGGGGTGTTATGATGCTGCAGCCAGAGGGGGGCTTGGCCTCAATTGGGGGCTTGTGGGCCAGGCTTCATTTTTAAATAAAATATGTCCAACACAAACGTTTCAGCATTGTCTTTACTTAGGGGAGGGGAGGGGCGGGGAACCTGCTTTGGGTCAGGGGTCACTGACCCACAGGAAAATCAGTCAGGGACCATACAAGTGAGATGCAAAAAAACAACCCCTCTAAGCCCCTCTGATGTGGGCCCAACTGAAAAACCTCCCTCCCCCAGCCCCATGCAGGGAGGGGAGGTAGGACTGAGCTTCAAGGCTTCAGGCCAGATTAACTCTTCTGGGGTTCCAGGGTAAGTGGAATTTGTGGGCCCCTCTACACTCTGAGGTGGGGCCAAAAATGAGGGTTCCAGTGTGTGGGACAAGGGAGCCATTGTGCCAGTGAGTGGGATAGGGATGGGGTGCAAAATCTGGGTGGAAAATAGGGTGCAGGAGCAAGCTGGGGTCAGTGTCTGCCCCATTTCCCACCCCGCCCCGGAGGAGAAAGGCCCTGCCCCAGCACCGCA